AGGGCCACGCGGGTCGATGCGGTGAAGGGACTATCGACCCCAGGAAAGGCGGACGGTTGAGCAGCGGCGAGCAAAGTGGAGTGCGCATCGCTAAGTGCGCGACTTGTAAACGCATTAGACGGCCTTGGGCCGGCGTCTGAATCCTCGAAACGTCATTGGGAGGAGCATTTGTCCACCGTGTGGGGAGAGAAACGCCATTTCGTCACAGCGCCTGTCCCGGTACAATCTCACCGAAATGCCGGCGCTGCCACTGGGCGCCGTTAGGCCGGTCACGGAGCCAGTCCTCGTCCGTGGGCCATGGCTCTCGAGCGCTCAAGTCTCGAAGTTTCTCGGCTTTCGCCTTGTGTGAGCAGCTTTAGATGCAGCGGGTGAGGGCATTGGGCGCGACAGGTGGCACATGCAACAGCGGCCGCCATCATGTCGACGAAGTTTGTTCGCGGCCGCAGCATGAAACCAGCGAGGTTAGGGGGACGCCAGCACGCACTTGACTCGAGAAACCAGCCGCGATCATGCTTCCCCAGACGCCGTCTACGCCTCTGCAAACCCTACTCAAGCCCTGTGCACGTAAGCAGAACGAGGTGCGCAACCTTTGAGCGATCACTGCACCTAGCAATCTCATCCCACATTGCGGGGAACTCTCATCCACACATGACAGCCAGATTTGGATCGGCCTGGAACCGGCGAGCGCTGAACCATTCATGCGGATATGGGGAAGATGCGCACAGACCCACAAGGACGCGGTAGAGCCTCATTATTGGACTTTGGCGGCTCCCCTCGCTTGGCCTTGTCAAAGCGCATTGAAACGCGACGACAATGAGTCGGAGGCTGACTCACTTCGTTTTCGGCAGACTTTCTACCTGGTGCGGTTAGGCAAGCAGCACACGACACGAGGTGACACCCATCTCCGTCCCGTGTTGCATTCCAAGCGACTACACTGTAGCTGACAGAGCTAAACCAGGATGTATGCTATTGAATGGTGGTGATCAACGGCCAGAATAGTCGATCATGTTCATGTAAGGCACGATCGACGACACGCGAGACACGGCAGATGTACACTGCGATATTTTCAAGCCGGTCAGCCCTGGACCTCGGGCACGGTCTAAACGCACGTGACATAATCCGAGGGAGCGAGTGGGAGAACCAGCTATAGACAAATATTCCGTTGAACTTCTAGCTAGCAACCTTTGACTTTCAGACGCAGAATTTCTCGTTCCTTAAGTTCATGGAGCTCTTCACATTGTCTATACGTGCCAATGAGACGCGATAGTCCAAATATGGTAAGCGCTCTTCGGGGGCACTGTCGGGCCGCGAGCTGTTAGCGCGGAATTTTCACTTTTCTCCCTCTCAAGCTTCCAGTGCGACCATTCCACACCAAACAAAACCCTTCGCTTCCAACGAGATTATACGCATGCGGTTGGACGATGCAGTTCCATGCCAGCTGCCGTGCACCGCGTCGTTCTTTTTAGGATGTTAGTCAAGGAATCTAGATTAGTAGATGGATGGCTCTTTCGAAGACTCGGTGATACGCTACTCTCCACGATCACGAGTTCAATTTGTAGCCTAGAAGAAGCCAAAGGATCTGCCAAGATCATCCCACTCGTGTTGCAGTGTCTGAGCGAAAGCCACGACGACTTTGCGTCTTTTGTTGGGAGACATATTGAATTTTTACTTGATTTGAAGTTGTATGAAATATACACGCGGAATCGGACACGTAGCGCGCTCACAATTCTTTCTTCTCTGCAGGCTTCTGGTCTGCGCTGAAGGCCATAGCCTCGTGCTTCTCGCGCTGCTTCTCTGCCGCCACAGGTGTTGGTTTGCGCATGACCAGTACCCAAACCGCAGCTACTGCCTCTGCTGCCAGCGCGATCATACTTGCGCACGCGATACCCCATATGTTTATGCTCACGCTTCCCAGAGGTGCGCGCGGGAAACTCAGCACCCATTCGACGTAGTATGGCACCCACCCAGCAGGTACCCAGAACATAGGCGACTTGGAGAACCAGAACTGTAGAACAAATCGAAGGCCTTGGGTGCCAAGCCAGCGCAGGGTCGAGACGGCGGAAGTGAAGGTGGACTGGTGCGAGCGCAGGGAACCATCTGGAGAGAAGAGCATTAGCAAGTGCACTTGACGTGTCCGGTGGGAGCGTCTCCGCGCAGGAGCGCTTACCTAGCTTCTGGAACTCAGCCATAGCCTTGTTGTGCTGCCTGTCGAGCTTGGCCCATTTTGAGAAGTTGTCCTGAGGCGACGTGTTGCCCAGCTCGCGCTTCAAGCGCACAATATCCTTTTTGAGGGCCTGGCATCTCTGCGCAGACCCAGATGTTGGCGTCGGCAGCTTATTGTACAGGATCCATAGCTGCCATGTGTCAGTCCCAGGTTCCTGCGTGTTTGTTTTCGGATGCGGGGCTTACCAGGTCGTTGACCGTGGATGCGCCCACGGTGTTGATGATGTGGAGCAACAGCTGCAGGGTGAAGACAACCAGGAGGAGAGACGGCATGTTGAGGGATGGGGACCAGTATCGCGGTGCAGCGTGTTCTCACTGCATCGTGTTGAAGTCAAGGGTTATGTCATAATGGTGCCCAGGCGGTTTTGGGAGCTGCAAGCTAACGCGGTGGGGTCGTGCGCAAGGGTCCTCCTTCTGCGACAGCTGGGCAGCTTTCACTTTGAACCCACGAAATCAGATCTTCCGCCATGACGACCAAATGCAGGCAGCAAGAGGAATTCCAGAGGCTGGCTTTTGCTTCATTGAGCGAGTACTTCCAGGAGCATGCAGACGAAGTCATCGAGATCGAGATTCTACCTCCTGCTATACAGCCACCGGATGGCATCACAATGCAAGACGGAATGAGTCTGGGAGTGCCGAAGAAGATACTTGCGTTAGCCTACCTGGAAGCCCGCCAACATTTCTTCGTGCATAGCAAGGCACATGATCCTATCACGGCTGCACAGACATTGCAAGCGACAAAGGTCATGCTTCTATTCGACCCAGAGCATCTCACTGCAGCAAATTATCGAAAACGCACCTTGTTCCAGCTAAAAGAAGCTCACGGTCTTCATGTTGGCACTCCATACCATAGGGCATTACGACAAGAGCTGTGCTTTCTGAACAGCATACTTACCTCTCCACTTCATCGTCAGTCCAAGTCGCCGACCTTGTGGTACCACCGCTTCAGCATCGTGGACTCTTTGAGACTCATAGAACTGGGAGATGCATCGCAAGAACAAATAGCAACGTTTTGGGAGAGCGAATTCGCCGCTATTTACAAGTCTGGAGAGCAGCATCCGAAGAACTACCACGCTTGGCAGTATGCTCGTAGGCTGGTATCTAAGCTTGATAGCAGCGACATGGTTGACCATGTCGCCCACGGCGTCAAGGATTGGTGCTGCAGACACCCAAGCGATATCTCTGGTTGGTCGTTCCTGCTGTATCTGATGCCTATCGTAGCTACATCGCTACAGCGGGAGCTGGTAAGCGATATACTGATCTATGCAACAAGTCTCGACCTCGAACAAGAGTCACTTTGGATATTTATACGTACAGTATTGGCGCTGCGTAACGGGGAGCTTTCGGCGTCCTACCAGTTACTCGAATCCTATAGGGAAGACCTAAAGGATACCAACAGGCGACCAATAGCACTAGACCGTGTGTGTAACGCCATTGCTTGGATTCAAGCTCACCAAGAGTCCAGCGTGTGAACAAGACACTTCATCATTAAGCAGCAACTCCGATTTTCTACATCGACGCAATAGCTACAGCCATCACACCTTTTGCATCAACCCAGAATCGGGACAACGGACGCCTCACAACAGTCTTTCTAGGCGTCGTTTTCCCCTCAAATACTGCCGCGACGTGCTTTATCATATGGTCGAACGACAACCATACATCGCCGATGAAAGAGTTGCGCGCTGTGGTATCTGCTGTGGTATCTGGCGAAGATATCTCGGGTCGGCTAGTACATTCTCTCACGCCTGCCACCTCGAGATCCGGCTGAGGAGACTGGAGAACTCTGGAATGTTCATACGACTTCTTCGAGGCTCTTTTTGGAGCGGCGTCCCTCCCAACATCATCGCTCCGCGCGGCCTGTGTCGACGTGATTATGCGCTCAAGGCTCAGGTCTCCAGTAATACGTTTTGGCTCGTCCAGATTTTGACCTTTTGCCGAAATTGGTATTGTCAGACGTTGGGCAAGCCGGAAAGAGCGTGTGCTCGAGGTGTCCGGATTTGGGTAAACCAGGTTGTTCTCCTCCGCTCGTCTCGAGATTGCAACCACCGGGTGTCCGTTAGGTCCTTCAACGATGCCCTTCCGACGAACTGTTTTCATTTTTCGCACGCATGACCCTTCTTCTGCAGGCGACCAGAACATGCGTCCTTGAGCACGGCCTTCATGTGTCGGGCCGATTCGGACGTTTGGCATTGTGAGTGGAGATCCAAGGATTCAAGATTTGCTGGAAAGCTTGGTATATGTCGTACAAGAGGAAGGAAAGATTGCTATCACAAAAGACTGTACTACAAGGTTGGTGTCGATAGTGCTGGCGTTCCTACTTATAGCTGGTGCAACATATCTACTTCCCAAGCTAAGCCTCCGCTCACCCCGCAATGTCAGCCATATCGCCCCGACCCGTCGTACGTCGGGCAAATACTGGAGACTTTTTTCGGTCACCCAGCGACTATGCCCGCTATACGCGGTGGACTTGACACGTAGATGCTCGTGTCGTCCACTCAGCCGGTTGTCAATTATAGATGCAGACGTGGCGTTTGTGGCGGTGCACGCCAACGTGCAATGTGATAGGCTGAGCCGGGTTTAACATGGCTTTTTGAGCGAATTGCAGACATCGGATCCATTCATGTACCAATAAACGCCAGCTGATAAAAAGATATGGAAAGTCTAGTTACATCGCCAAATACCACTCGAGGAATAAGAGACTCAGCAAAATCGTTGTAATGTCGCGGCCTTCCACCAAACCAATCTCGATCTTCTTGCATGTCTTCCTTTCCCAGCCTCTACCACGCTGCTTCCTTGTACCAGTCATAGATCTCATCGATAGAGTAATGATAAGGATAACCTTCGTCATCAGGTTCAAGGACTTCTTCATCTGTCCGATCTGCCCTCCTGACAAGACCGCTGGAAGGGGTCTCAACCGGATTGGCTGCCTCGGGGGTGGGAGTGGGGGTTGATTGCGGGCTCGGCGTCGATTGCGGACTTTGTTCGTTGCGAAAGCTTTGCAAATGCTTGTTGCCAACTCCATTAGGCCAATACTCCCCCCTCGCCTCAATCTTGGGGGGCTTGCTTCTCTCTTCTGCAGTTAGCGTTCCAAGGTCCCTAAAAGGTACTTGAAGATAACTGATCTAGAGGGACTGTTAACCTAAACATCCATGAATTGGTATCTATGGGGTGGCTCTGGACTGACTTTTGTGATTTTCTTGTCTGCGGGTCGAGCATCATCGATCAGTGTCGGAAATTCAACCTGCCACCAAATTCCATCCACTGGAACTTTTTCTTTTTTTCCTTCGGGGCGAGTACCGCTCAGATCTGAATTGGTCATCAAGAAGACCTCGCCTTTGCACTCCATTGCCATGGCCTTCGACATTGACTTGAAGTATAGCCGTTGGCAACCATCGAAGTTCGCGTCGTAGTCCTGATCCCTCTGGTCCTGGTAGATGCACTTGGCCTCGGGAGTCTTGTCCAGGTCATTCTTGTTTGGATAGAACTTTGGCGGATGTAGCTCCTGTGAGTAGTTAGCATTCTCGCGTGGTTGTACTCTACCTAGCGAGACGTACCCAGATAGTTTGGTACTTGCGCGGTCCTTCCGCAGCCCCCGTCAAAAGTACCTCCTTCAGAACAAAATTGGCCAGCCTTTCTGCCGCTCCCGTGAGTTTCGAGGTGTAGAAAAGGCAGGGCACCTCGCATTCGTTGGCCTCGGGCTTTCGGTTTGCGATGAATTTCTAGGTAGCTTAGTCATTGGATTAAAAAGATTCAGAGGGTAAAACTACTCACATCAACTGTGACATCTGCCATCTTCCAGCAACTACCGGTGTTGGGGCCCTCCAGCGTGCCACGACACGTCTCATCAGGTACTCCAAATTGGGGTCCCAGAGGATTGGAGAAGATAGCTGCTTCGATCTCTCTTTTCGCCAGATCCCATGGTGTAAATGCGGGCCTGTCATCGACAGGGAAAGATGTGGACAGCCGGATGTAAGTCCAGCACAGGATAGTGAGCCATGTGGTCTTCATGTCGTGGTAGCGATGGCAGGATGAAAATATACGCAGTAACGTAAGGATTGACGCAGTCCAGGCGACAAGTGTTGATTCAGTGTACGTTTACCCAATGCTGATAGGAGTTGAGAGAAGATATACCTAGTTCTCAGCAAGGATTTCAGCGAGACTTGTGTCGATATCTTTGGCCACGGTATCTTGATAGTACAGGAACTCCAGTTTGACTATCTGCCTTGCAATCGCGCGTTGAAACAAAGGCAGGCATGTGTCCCGTGGCACATGGCCACATCTCAAGAAGATTCAACACATCCTACCTACCTAGGGAGGTATCGCAAAGCCCTACAGCCCCCAATGCTCACCAAGAGACGCGACCTTGAGGCGTCACACACATAATTCTTGAAATATCGGGATTCGGGGTTGAAACAGCCCTCCCGAGGTCTTCTGTCTCCCTAAATCCTTGCGCGCGCGACGCCTTCTCCGTGCATCGGGTAGTAACATAGATAGAACGTCAATGCCCTGAGTCCGCCTGGGCTAATTAGGTACCTCCAAGGTTGGAATGCGCCACCCTTGGCATGTTAGGCAACATCAAGCCGATGTCAAATAAGCGCTTGTAGGTGTACACCGCTAGCTATGAATCCACTAGCGTCACTGTGCCACCCTCAGGTTAATATCCGCCCGCACACCTCTCAAAATCATCAACTGTAGAAGCCCGGAGTACACGTCTGCGCTCAAAGTACACAGATCTTCGTCGCTCTCTTTCCCGCCCTCTTTCCCACCTTCTGGATCCGACCAGCCTTGAATTTGTTTCACTTCCAAGGTTTGCGTTTCTCACATACCTAGGCATCATAGTGAGCCTTATCGCTGATAACGATCGCAATGTCAACGACTCTCTCCAGCTTTGGCGAAGCGCGCGATGCGAGATTGAGTGGCGAGAGAACGTTGGAAGAATGTTTGCGGCACATTGTGGCCTACTACAAGCTTCCCAAATCTACGGTAGAGTCTGCCGACAAAAAGGCATGGAATCTGAGGGGCTTCGAGAGAGAAGTACGAGATCTACTGCTCAGCGAGAACTATGAGCCGCCCACAGACGATGGTAAGTGTGATCAAAATGCAGAATGACCGGCTGTGGGTCTCACTGCTTACACGAGTTCGTAGATACAACCATCATCCTTTCGATCTTCCTGAGTGCATTTCAAGGCGACATTCCTGCCATCAGAGAACTTCTTGAATCTTCTGGCATAGACCCAATATACTATTCCCGTCCTCTCATGAAAATCTCATCAGAAATACGCGACACCCAGCTACTCCGTTTCTGCTTCGAGATCGGCTTTTCGCCCAACTACTTCGACTCCTACACCTTTTGCGGCTGGTATGGGAAAAACGGTGTGGAATGGCTCGATATCTTGTTCGACCTGGACTTTTGCCAATGGCGCACAGACCCACAGCAGTTAAACTACAATTCAACTACGCATAATTCAACCTGGTGTGGTATGGTTCGCATGGGACCTGACGCCACTCGCTGGTGGATAGACCATGGAGGAAGTGTGAGCAGGTTCCGAGGAATGTTTTTTGCACCCTTTGAAAAGCCATGGCCGAAGGCTGCGTCAATTCGAGTCCTGTTGGACAGATTCGGAATCGACTGGTTCAAGGACTCGGGGACGCTGCAGCTAGCAGTCAAGAAGCACGACATGGAAACTGTGAAGATGTTGCTAGAAGCGGGTGCAGATGTCAACGAAGATGTCACTGACTGGAACACGGACATCCGTGAGCATCGAGCCGCCCCATTACGAGCACTAGCGACGGCTATGTACGATAAATCTGATGACATGATCCGATACCTTGCAGAGCATGGGGCAAAAGTCCCGCGACATTATGTCGAAGACCTACACAGCTGGATGCCAGAGGAGTTCAAGCCCTTCATGAGGTTAGTGGTAGAGCTGGGTGCTGTGGAAGAGTAGGCATTTTTCTTTTCCTACGCGTTTGCAAATTACATGGTAGTTACACTGTACCTAGTCATTGATTTCAAACCAGCTATTGATTTGGTTACTTGTTCCTGTCATTGAACTTCGGAGCGGTCAAGTAGTTGGCCAATTCCCGCTTTCGATTCCGCTTCTCCATTCTGGCGAATAAGAGATATGCTAGGTAGCACAACACCCTGGGGCCGTATTGGTATACGCTTGTCTCATCGACCAAATTGGCAGCATGTATTCTGCAGACGCTCAAACGTCCTGTTCCGAATGTATCGGATGCATTATGAGGCACTGTCGTCGAAAGGCGATTGCTCAGTATTGAATAAAGGCCAAAATTGGTCAGCATATATGAGGAGCCGCCGACACTCGGTCTTCAGTAAGACCAAGAAGAGGTCAGCCTTACGTTTCGGATGATGATACGAAACTTCCCACTGCATGCATGAAGATGTCATAAGAAGCTGAGGCATAGGCTTCCAGGATCCCCGACAAAAGCACAGAATGGGGGCGATAGAGTGGCACGGAGTCATTCCACGATCCTAGGACTATACGTAGTACCTCCCGGGGTCAAGATTTGTAATTGCTGATATAAATGCGGCACAGGCTATCTGCGTAGAATGTTTCCAATGCATGTATGGAGATCTCGTAAGAAGCCAAGACGTGAAGTTTCGAAACACTCTGACGCAAGAGTAAGACGGCGGCCGTGCCGCTGCGGGAGAGCCACGGGGCCAGCCCCCGGTTATGAAAAGTGCCCCCACGGGCCAAATGCTTGAGCTGAAGGCGGTGCGGTATCTTCGGATACTCATTTCCGATCCAAACCCCACATTACTTGCATACTGAGGAGTTACAGGGATGCTCTCAAATAGATGCCATGTCCAACTACTTGCCAAATTTAACCACATGAGCGCTACGAGCCACGCGATGTTACCCATGCCTTTTGTCCTGGGGCTACAAACGTACCTTGAGATCCTTCAAGAATCTTCACAGCCCAGATCTACTCCTGAGCAGGCATCAAACGCAATCCACCGCTCATCCTCACTGTAAAGATCGTTGCAATCAAAGACGACTCTTACACCTCTTTCACATACACAGTCTCTATGAACATGAAGGCATTCTTCCTCCTCCAGCACTTGGTCTGCATAGCCAACGCTTATCGCCTCCATCACTAGCAAGTCATCGCCTTCCATAATCCATATGTGTGACAACTACTGACTTTTGGCGTTGGCGTATAGTCAATCTGCGGGCTGCCGCGGTGCCAACCTTGGCTGGCGAGATGTCGATGCCAGCACTGGCTGCAACCGCGACAACGCTGGGGTAGCTGCAGCCATCATTATCGAACACAATGAAACTGAACAAGCCGGAGGTGAAGGTGACAAAGATTTTGGCTCCGTTGTCGTCCTCTTCAATGGCGACGACTGCAAGCCCTCGGATATCTTGGCGTATGGCGACGATGGCTGCCTCGTGGGGAACTATGGAAGTTATGAAGTCTGGGACTTGTGGTCGGTCGATGGCATGGAAGCTCCGGAGCTGAAGTGAATGAAATCGCGATTGTTTGCTTAGATTGAGTTTGAAGGGTGTTTGTTTAGTTCAGCTGGCAATCCACATGTATCAGTTTCTGCGCGATATGATTTCCGCAAGCTTGATCATGAAGTCTAAACGCCAGATGGTTATAGCCGCAAATGTAGCGATATGATTAGACGCTTTGCTTCGTGTAATGATCTTTCGCTTCAATGTAACGCTCCATATCAAACTATACGCTGATGAACTCTTAGTGACCGAGAGCTCCTTGTTCATGTATTTAGTCTAGCAAGACTTCCCCACCGTGATTAGACGGTGAATCTAATGTCTTTCGCATCGGCAACCAAACAAGCAAAGAAGTCCTCCTTGATCGACTGTACGTAGGTAAGCATATGGCGCTCGATATAGCAAGTTCGAAATTCCGAGACTGCCCAGGTGTCAGACTGCACCTTTTGGTTTCGAAAATATGTATGTAAGATAGGGCCTGAAGCAGGCCGAGAAGTTTAGTTGCACAGCGGGGCTATAGAGGTCCTAGTTAGGTTACGTAGGTTAGAGACGCTCTAAACGCTTTATCCACAATATAAATATTTATATATTCTATTATTTATTATCTATCTAATATTTTATATCTTCTTTAGTATTATTATTTAAGTAGCCTATATATCTATTTATAGTAGTACCTTTACGTTATATAAAGTAAGTATAGTATTTATTTTATTAAAGTATTCTTTATTACTACTAAGATAGTTTTAATATATAAGTAGCTACTTTCTATAAGTAGGCTAGTATACTAAGTATTTTATTTAAGTTAATAGCTTATATACTATTACTTACTTATTTTAAATAAAAGTTTAAGCTATTAGTATAAAGTCTAAAATATTAGTATAACTTATAAAAGATATAGTAGTATTACTTACTTAATAAAGTATCTAAGTAATAGCTATATATTTTTAAGCTATATAACTTTTTAGTATATATATTTATATAAAAGAAATACTAAAAGGCTTATAAAATTACTAAAAGCTTAAGAGCTTATTCTTTAGTTAAAAAAACTATAGTAATAATATTAAAAAAAATAAAAGTAGTAATAGTAATAATAAAGTTATTTAGATTTTATATAAAAGTAATAATAAACTAGAGTAAGAAGTATACTATATTATATATAAAAGAGAAAGAAGTATTATAAAAATAAAGCTTTTATACTTTTCTTTAACTTATATATATATAAAAATCTTAAACTTTAGTTTTATTTTATTTTATTTTATAGTACTATAATAACTTATTAATAATAAGCTACTTATAACTCTTATAATATACATAAGATATATAATAACTAAATCTACCTATTAAATATAGAAGGGATGCGAAAGAGGTACGTGGGTTAGGGGCTATAGGCAGCTTCCACCCCACAGGTTCTTACACAGGGCAGAATCCGTGCCTCGTGAAGGCAGTGTTCGTTGTGTTGGGCTCACCCGCCCCAGCGTCGCTTTCGTGGCAGTGTGCATCATGTGGCAGGATGTCTGAGTAGAGAGT